TCCGGCGTGATACGTGGAATTTGCTGGTCACAGTAATTTGAAAAGCGCTGTAATTAAAAGTTTGAAAAAAAAATAATTAATTACAATTGAATAATTTCACCCAATCAGGATGCGACTGTTCAAGTAGAATCTCATTTTAGAAAAAATTTGTCGTTTATGATACTAAGGCAGGGTAAGGCAGGGGTAACGCTGTACGGTATGTAATTATACCGATACGAGGCATCTAATGTTACATAGGATCAAAATTACATAACTAAAATTTGGAGTACAAGGTACATTCATGCTTGCCTCCGAGATTGTACTAAGTTTGCTTCATTGCAGCATTGGGCTATAAGAGTTAACGTTAATAATTTTATAAGTTCAATATGGTTAGCTCGGGCAACTGCCGGCTGCTACGTAGATAAAAAAAGCGATAAAGAACTAAAATTTGAATCTATTTTAATACGCAATTCCAAATTTATCAGTCTTTCTTGTATTTATATACTACAACACTGGCTCCCATACTTTGTTATCATATTTTGTAAAATAAAAGTTTATTAATAAGATGCATTAATTTCAAATTCTTTATATTCTTTTGAACGTTGAAAAGTTTTTTCAATGAAATAAATTACAACATAATCTGCATTGATTATACAATACAATGATTATTTAATTTCTAATTTAGTGCTTAAAACAGTATCGAACTTAGTCCTATACTTTATTAAAAATAGGCACCTCGGCCGTCTCTTTTTTGAAGCCGATCATTACTAGTTTAGATTCTGATGATGAAGTGACGGTTTTAACAGCCCAATTAAAGGCATAGGCAGCCAGCTTTCGATTTTCGTACAATTTATTTTATTTTCAATAAAACACTTTTGTCGTAACCATACGTCACCACTTCTATTCCCAGCTAAAAATGCTGGTGAAATCGGTGTTGAGTTTGTGAAATTTGGTGAAATTAATTTCACCATCATCTACTCCCAACCATACTTACTGCGTATTTTTACATATGTACGCAAGTAAAATTAAAATTAGGACAAGTTTATCTAAGGGGTGTTATCTTAGAATTAGTGATAATTATATATCGTATTTTTATTTTCAAAATGAAAACATTTAAACATGAACGTTTCTAGGAAATAATGGAAGATATAAACAAATTAAGTTGTTGAAGAAATGTGCAATTACGTTCGTTGTATATTGAGGGATGTTAAAATAGGTCGAAAAATAACAAATATTTAATAAATTATCGCCAACAAATAACTTTATTTGAAAATTTATCACAGATAAATTCAAATAATAGTAATTTAATAATACATACGTATTTGTATAATGTATATATCCCAAGTTATTTAGCCTCATTAATAAAGACATAACTTTTTACTCATATATATCGATAATTAAATAGAAAAATATGGATTTGTAAATGGATTTAAAATTGGCGATATTTACTTTTTTTAAACCAGAAAATTCTATGGATAAAGTATGATAATAGCAATGATATAAATTAGAGCAAGTCTAATCTGACACATTATTATTAGATGTTAAGCCATTGATTTGACGAAAATGAATGTAATAACAAATAATAACAAGAAAGTATATGAATTTGGCGCATTAATAGGGGCTGAGCTTTTGCCATTGCTGTTACTAACACCGGGTTTACCATTAGCAGTGGAACCTACGTATATGGCTCCCCACTCTCCACCAAGGCAATGTTGACCATAATTACAGAAAAAGTATATGGCTCCATCATCCTGGTTTATGGTAAAATCGTATTTATCACCCTGGGATTTTATTCCTGAGGAGACTAAAAGAATTTGATAACTTTAATAGATAAGCCTAGAATGTGAATACTAAACTTCTATATAAACTGATACTTGCGTGAAGTCGCAGTTGTAGAATTCGTGCATACACCTGGGTTGTCACTTTGTACGATATTATGTTTCCCGTTAACAAACGAAAAGGAGACCTAATCCCAAGAAATTTATTTAACTGAATTTGGAATAAAATGAAAACATACAAAATATAAAGTATATTAGATACATACAATATCGCCTCTCTTAACACTAGAGTTTTGTGGAGAAAAAACCAACCCTTTTTCAGCAACTTTGATAGTGATGGTATCAGCATTTGAACAAGCTAAGAAGGTTAAAACCAATAATACAAAGATGTTTAATGTGCGAAACATGATGATTAATGATGATTAATGATTATTAAAGAAATAAAATGAATGTTAAATAGTTAAATTTTGGAATGGGTTAAAGTCACTTTTCTCAACTTGTTAAGCAGGTTAGAAAGTAATTGATGGTGAAACGGTATTTAATTAAATTTTTGGCCAAAAAAGGAAACTAATAATTTATTCGTATCAACGTTGTTCATGAAACCGATAAAACTGGTCCAAACCGTTGAAAGTATAACGGTACTTCATGAAACCGAAAAGATGGTCCGAGCCATTAAGATTGCTTAACATTATTAACCATATATAAACTTAAGTACCACAATTTTTGTTAATAATATCCCAATTGTTTGCAAAAAATGAGAGTAAAAATCCTTGCTACATAAAGAATATTTGTATATACATAAATTCTTTGTATCTTTCCAGTTCTAATATTAGTATTGTTTTCGAAAAAAAAAATTTTTTTAAAGGCTAATAAATTTATTTAAGAGATTTTACTACGTACATACTACATACCAGTGTAGACCTATGACCTATTGTCTAATTATAAATTATGACCTGGTACGTAAGACTTGTAAAATTTACCACTGGTCATACATACATATAAGGATAACCTAAACTGTTTTACACCGTTACGTAGATACTTACATAGAATACGTATTTATTCTGGTATACGTACGTACGTACGTATCTTTTTTTTAAAAAAAATAATATTATATATATATTTATTATTTTATTTTTAAACTAAAATGCATGGGAGGCAGCGTTGTAGTATATAAATACAAGAAAGACTGATAAATAT